GTCAAGTGGGCCTTAGAAAACATGGCTAACAACAAGGCCAGTGGGGGTTATGACATTCCAGTTGAACTATTTAAAATTTTAAAAGATGACGCTGTTAAGCTGCTACACTCAATATGCCAGCAAGTTTGGAAAACTCAGTAGTGGCCAGAGGATTGGAAAAGATCAGTCTACATCCCAATCCCAAAGAAGGGCAGTGCCAAAGAATGCTCCAATTGCACTCATTTATCATGCTAGCAAGGTTATGCTCAAAATCCTACAAGGTAGGCTTCAGCAGTATGTGGACAGAGAACTCTCAGAAGTACAAGCTGAATTTCAAAGGCGCAGAGGAACTAGAGACCAAATTGCTAACATGCACTGGATTATGGAGAAAGTCAGAGAGTTCCAGAAAAACATCTACTTCTGCTTCATTGACTATGCAATACATCATGCGAAAGGCTGGACTGGATGAATCCCAAGCTAGAATTAAGATAGCTGGAAGAAATATCAACAGCATCAGATATGCAGCTAATACCACTTTGATGGCAGAAAGTGAGGAGGAATTAAAGAACCTTGTAATAAGGGTGAAAGACGAGAGCACAAAAAATGGTCTGAAGCTCAACATCAAAAAACCTAAAATCATGGCCACTGATCCCATCACCTCTTGGCAAATAGAAGGGGAAGATATGGATGCAGTGACAGGTTTTACTTTCGTGGGCTCCATGATCATTGCAGATGGTGACAACAGCCACAAAATTAAAAGACGCCTTCTTCTGTGGAGGAAAGTGATGACAAACCTAGACAACATCTTAAAAAGTGGAGACATCACCTTGCCGACAAAGGTTCACATAGTCAAAACTATAGTTTTTCCACTAGCGATGTTTGGAAGTGAGAGCTGGACCATAAAGAAGGCTGACCACCAAAGAATTGATGCTTTTGAATTGTGGTGCTGGAGGAGACTCTTGAGCATCCCCTGGGCTGCAAGGAGATCAAACCTATCTATTCTGAAGGAAATCAACCCTGAGTGCTTACTGGAAGGGCAGATCCTGAAGCTGAGGTTCCAATACTTCAGCCATCTCATGAGAAAAGAAGACTCCCTGGAAAAGACCCTGATGTTGGGAAAGTGTTAAGGCAAGAGGAGAAGGGGATGACAGAAGACGAGATGGTTGGACAGTGTCATTGAAGCTACCAACATGAATCTGACGAAACTCCGGGAGGCAGTGGACGACAGGAGGGCTTGGCATGCTCTGGTCCATTGGGTCACCAAGAGCCGGACATGACTTAATGACTAAACAGCAAAGTAGCACCATAATCAGTAAAGATTGGTGTCAAATCTTTACTACCACTTTACCCAAGCTATCGAAGCCATGATTCTTCTGATTTAAGGCAACAGAGGAACAAAAACCTGTTAATTGTTTCATGAGCAGTATAACCATTTCTAGCTATTTCTCTTTCTTTCTGCTGGTAGAACCAAAGACTTTAAGGAAGCAATAAGAGTAATGCATGAATATAATAAATATTATTATTATAGCAAGGAGTAGGAAGAGGAGAAGGAGAAGGAAAAGAAGAAGAAGAATCTATTCCAACTCATAGTGACCCTTCCCAGGATTTCTAGGTATAAATATTCATAAGTAGTTTTCAAGCTCATTTTCTGGTGGCACTCTGGGACACTATAGCTTGCTGAAGGCCATACAAGCTGGCTCCACTTTTGGGAGGAATTGCAGGGAATCAAATTCCCAATACCTCGCTCTGCATCCAAGTGCTCCAATCCACTTTATCCACTCAGCTAGATCTTATTTAACAATTAAAGAACTATTAACATGCACTTCTTATTTCTTAGCAACAATTAGAAATCAAGTACTAAAAATCTGTGAATGAGATAACATGTTTGCAAAGTCATTGATTTTTGGATTTCTAAAAGCAAATTAGCAGCTAAAATCAACATGGGCATGACTAAAACTGTGGACCCTTAAGAAACTGAAGACTTGATTTTTGCTGCACAGAAACAAGCACTCCAAACCAATGTGATGAAAGCTAACAGCAAATGTTGATTCTGCCAAGAAAAAGATGAAACTATGTGACACTTCATCTGTGAATGTCCAGACTGCACAAACAGATTATACTACACAAGAAGCAGATTACAATGTTAGACATGATAAGAGTAGCAAAATTAGTGCACTGGTCATTATGCAAAAAAATATAACTTGCCAGGCTCCAAAAACCCATGGGAACATCAGGTAGAGAAGGTGTGAGAAACAAGGTCAAGATCTTGTGGGATTTCCAGGTCCAAACTGATAGACACTTTGAACATAACACGCCAGACATAGTAGAAATAGAATGAAGAAACGTCTGGATCATTGACATTGCAATTCCAGGGGATGCCAGAGTTGAAAATAAAGGATTGGAAAAACTTAAAAATTACAGAGACCTGGCAATCAAAACATCTGGAACAAACACACTTCAGTGGTCCCTGTAGGGGCTTTGGGAACAATATCAAGAAATTTCACACAATACTATAAACAGTTGCAAATCTCAGAAATAACACCATCAGAGCTCCAAAGAACAGCAATATTATGAACAGCATAATACTGTGCCAATATTTAAGATACCTAGGATTTTTTTTTGATAAAACTTATATCTGTTACATAATGCCAGTCAATGTTTTTATGATTATGTCTGTTTCTGACTGTTTCATATTTTTGAATACGTTTATAATAATTTCAGCTTCGTGTGCAGTTGAATAAAAAACAACATAGCATAGCAAGTAAAACATCAAATGTGAGTTTTGAAAGGCATGTTTTGACACCCTTCTTAAAAGCAGTCAGTGTGCAAGCTGATCACAGCTCTGAAAGGAGTGTACTGTACTCCACAGTCTGGGAGTCTCAAAGTAGAAGGCCCTCTCCCGTGTGTCTGTTAGGCGGGTCTCTGAAACTGTTGGATTCTTAAGAGGGCCACTCATGAAGATCTTAACATGTGAGCAGGCTCATAAGAAAGCTACTAGTCTTTTAGACAACCAGCTGTTTAGAGATTAACATCAGCACCCTGAACTGGTTCCAATAAGCAACTGGCAATCAATACAGGTCTTTGAATGTCAGTGTCACATAGCACAGCTGTGGACGTGCCTGGAAGTGAAAGGAAAGGCTGATGCTGCAAAGAAAACTACTGCATAGGAAGCTGGAATGTAAGATCTATGAACCTTGGGAAGCTGGGTGTGGTCAAACAGGAGATGACAAGAATAAACATTGACATCCTGGGTGTCAGTGAACTAAAATGGACGGGAATGGATGAATTCAAGTTAGATGATTATCATATCTACTATTGTGGGCAAGACTCCCATAGAAGAAATAGAATAGCCCTCATAATCAACAAAAGAGTGGGAAAAGGTGTACTGGGATGCAATCTCAAAAATGATAGAATGATTGCAATACGAATCAAGGCAGACCTTTCAACATCACAGTAATCAAAGTTTATGCACCAACCACCCATGCTGAAGAGGCTGAAATTGACCGATTCTATGAAGACTTACAACACCTTCTAGAACTGACACCAAAGAAAGATGTTCTTCTCATTATAGGGGACTGGAATGCTAAAGTAGGGAATCAAGAGATAAAAGGAACAACAGGGAAATTTGGACTTGGAGGGGACGACAGAGGATGAGATGTTTGGACAGTATCATCGAAACTACCAACATGAATTTGACCCAACTCCGGGAGGCAGTGGAACACAGGAGGGCCTGGCATGCTCTGGGCCATCGGGTCACAAAGAGTCGGACACAACTTAATGACTAAACAACAAAATCAGTAAATACCAGAAACATCACCAAAATCTGATGTTCAGGAACAGAGTTTGATAAAACTGGCAAATTGCAGCCAGTCTGCCTCTGACTTTGCTTCAGGCCCACCTCTCTCAGAAGTTAAGAAGCGAATTTGTCTTGAACAGTACTTTAAGGGGCATTTAAATCCTTTATGGAAGCATAATATTCATCATTAGTATTATTTAGTACTTCCACAGAGCCTTATGAAGAGGAAGAGAACCACCCACTTCTTTTCTTGAGAACAAGAATAAAGTTTACTTCTATCTATGCCAGGAATAGACACTGTAAATTCAATCAGACATCCATTGGCAGCAGGATGGAACATCTGAATCAGTACCTCTATTAAATCAGAGTCTGGACTTTTCTTAAGACTCTCAATGATTCATCGCCCATTTGGTCATATTCCCTCCACTCCTCCCAAAATTGGGACCAAACATATACTCGCAATATTCTCAAAACAAACAAACAACTATACAACTAATGAAGCCCCAAACAAAATAATGATAAATTAAAACATTTAACATCACCAACAGTATGACCTGGAGAACTGTGCTACATCTGTGTCTTGGCCGACCATTTTACCTACTGAAAAAGCTATGCAAGGAAAATACTTGGGGGGGGGCAAGGTGGGACTTCTTTGCAGTCCTGAGCTGCCCATAGTATAAAGATTTTCCAAAACTAGACAGTTTCTGTCCCTATTTTTGATACCCTCAGGTTTCAAGAAAGACATTTGTTGTGAGACTTGTGTTCAGCAATTTCCTTGGAACTGACAAAGAGGGCAAAGGGACATATTTTCTTCAATTCCATGTTCCCCCTGTAATATTTCCCATTGTGTTCTAGAGGGGGATCATCCAGAACACAATACAAGTGGAAGTACATTGCAGGGCTATACAGGAACTGAAGGAAATCACAGTTCTCTGTTCATCCAGCTGGAAACCTGGATAATTCTCAATAAACAAGTAAACAAACAAAGGAGCATTTATGCTCATGGCAAGAGAAGACTGCACTGCCTCACTGACTCTGCCAAGATAGTAGCTTGTCACTGGTTTTAAATTAACCCTCTGTATTAGGTGCAACACACTAACATTTCATCTGCTGAAACCTCCTTTCTGATGCCCTTCACCATATTAAAATGCCTGCATAGTCAAATGTTTGCCCATTATTCTATGTAAATTTCATGAGAACCTCAGATTATATTATACAAACTTACCCGTTCCACTTGCCCCTCTTTGTGTTTCAGCTTGTAAACTTTGAGTTTTGGAAGAAATGTGTCTCCGTAATTTTTGTCTTCCATTCCTTGGAGTAGTACTCCATGAAATGCCAGTCTGCAAGCATTCGCATGAATATCAGTATCTAGCTTTGAGCCAATTACAAGACACAGTTTAGGACAAGTAACTGGTTTTTCAAATTCAAGCAAAGCCCATTGTTGTTTTGGGAGCTGTCTTTCTCCACCTTGGTCATTCTCTTTGTTTTCATCAGAAGACTTTGAGTCCTTGCAAATATATTCTTCTTGATACAGGTATTCCTTTTCAAAATCAAAGTTATTCTCCATGGGTTCATTGCTGAAGTCAGCAGGAGCTGGAGTGAAGAACATCACTTTTCCCATAACAGTTTCATGACCAACTGTGATATGAAACTTAGATTTAGTCTGAAGAGTACCTCGGAAATATGGGATTTTCTTTAAAGAGATGATACCAGCGTGAATTGTCTGGAGAGATTCAGGTGTACAGATAAGACCTCGTTCCAAAAGTTTGGGGTCAAACTGGGTTACACAGATTCCTACTCTGTCACCCTGCATTGCATAGGTGACTGGAGTATGAAACATCTGCATGGACTTGACTTTCTTTGTAACCTATGAATGTTAAAACAAACATAGTTGTATTAATAACTGTATATGCTAATTTAATTAATGCATTAATTAATTAATTAAAAACATTTACATCTCTTATATCCAACATGGGTTGTGCACCATTCTTTGCAGTTATTACATGATTATTTCCAGATACCCAGGCACTTTTCTTTCACAGAGATTTATAACACACATTGCCTGAGAAATCTGTCCTCTAAACCAGAGGTCCCCAACCCCCAGTCCGTGGCCTGGTGCTGGTCCGTGGCCTCAGCCGGATCGGGCCACGGAGACAGACCTTCCTCCCCCCTCCCTGCAGGCACGTACCCCCGCACAGCTGATTTGCGCATACACACACACCCGTGTGAGTGCTGCACCCCCATTTGCACATGCGCACAAGTGCACATGCCAGCACAAGTACCATGCCGCTGTTTGTGCATGAGCACACACTCATTCACACATGCGCACAAGTGTGGGGGGGTGCCCTGCCTTTCCCAGCCAGTCCGTGGGGTGAAAAATGTAGGGGACCCCTGCTCTAAATCATGTACATAAATGTTTTCCCCTCAGGATTCCTCTTTCTCCACTTCATATTACTCTTTTTATCTTCCTTACCCTTAACCAACTTTATATGTTAAAAAGTGATTGAGAATTATTTTACTGAATTTGCTATCACCTACAGTATCTGAAAAGAGGTACAAGATTAACTTTTGCCTACACAAACAAAAAACATTTTTATTTTTAGAAGCATGACACAGTAGTATCCTATTTCTCATGCTGCCATTTCATCCCTCCCCAGAAAGATCAGGACCACACACACCAAAAAGACCACTGCTGATGACTGTTAATAGCCCATGACAATGGGTGAAGGATTGAAGAAGTGGGATTTTCACTCAACCCCCCCACTCCTTTTTTCATCTAATTAGCCTATTCAGACCAAGGGGGAGTGAAACCAACATGGAGGATATATCAGGGGTATCCTACTGACTCTCCTCAGACTGAAGAAGCTACTTGGATGAATAGCGAAATGTTTCAACCTAATAAGAAAGAAGTCCAGTTGCCATGACTCATCTTCCAAATAACCTCACCTGGATGACTGAGAATCTTCACAGATATAGCCCTAAAATGTTTATTTCAAATGTTCCTAGTTCTTTCCCTCATTTCTGTTATTCACCTGCTACACATTCCTAAATTAAGCTTGTTGGCCTTTTAATTCCGTGAACAAAGACTGCATCTCTTAGATTATTTTGTGGTTAGTTACCTCCTTAATATCTTGCTAGGTGACATGTAAGCATCTCTGTGTTAAAACCATGCATATATGTGCTTTAATAGAATAGAAACTTAGAATAGTCCAAGACAGGAAAAAAAAGCAAAAACGTTTTTAGAAGTGTCACTTGGAAAATACTTCCCAGTTAAACTTCACTGTACTCTTTTGTCCATTCTTCTACTAAAAGGATGTCTTACAAATTTAACCTGTATGAAAAGCAGCCTCTAATTCTCAACAGCTTGGAAACAAGACAAATCTAATCTGGAGATCTCCATGGCTGTGTCTATAGTTTATGAGTTCAGTTTATTTATCATTTATTTAAACTACCTGAGAAAATGTAAACAACACAAAAACACTGAAATGTGATGCTAATAATCTCAGGGCTGTATGTGAAGTTTTTACTTCAGGAATGGGGGGGATGAGAAAAAGGAGAAAATAAACTTTTCATAAAGATCACAGTTGATTAAACTTGACTAAGACAAACTACTTCACTTTAGTGTGGTTTTATTTTTATTTTCCTTCTTCTTTCTATTATGTTTTGTTCTTATATTTTATCTGTTAATAGTTTTATCTGACAAAAGACACACACCAGCAGAACAGGAAGCGGCCAACTTTTGCCCATTTTCTCCTCTCCTCTATGGACCTCAAAACCCTCAAATCTGCTCTTGATGGTACCCCAACCCTTTGAAGTAGATGGGGGGTCACTGATGTCTGCAAAAGAGGGAAGAATAATCATAATTCAGCCAACTCCCAGTGGCTGGCACCTTCCATGAGTTGATAAGATTTAGCAAATTTTAAAGAGAAAACACTGAATCTTCTTTCAACCTCCTCTCTACCAGCATAGTACTAACCTATAAGGCCCTAAACGGTTTGGGACCTCACTGTTTGGCTTAGTGCCTCCTTCCACTTAGGTCTGCCCGTCCTATACGATTGTCGCAGGCAGGGTGGCTAAGAGTTCTGACCCTGAGAGAGGCCGGAAAAAACAACGACTAGAAATGGGGCCTTCTCGGCGGTAGCCCCATGACTATGGCACTCTCTTCTGCCCAAAGTCCGGCCGGCCCCTTCAGTGGGCACATTCAAAAAGCTATTAAAAACCTGGCTATTTAGACAGGCCTTCACTGAACAAACTATACTCTTGATACAATAGTGTCCAATAACATAACTTCTATCATACTGCCATGCTCCATGTTTTTATTTTTCTACACTTTTAATTGCATTTATTGTACTATAATTTTATTCTCACTGCACTTTATGATTTTTCATTTTCGCCCCTATGTATTAATGTTGCTGCTTGCTATTCTGTTACTTTGTTGTTTTTTGCTATTTGTTGTAAACCCCCCAGAGTGGCCTTGGCTGTCAGATGGATGGTATATAAATCAAGTAAATAAATTGTTGTCTTATGCTTCCTTCTGACATTTTTCTTCTGCACTCTTTTCCAACTTTCTATTCTTGTTAAAGTTTTCTGAATTCTTTAAAAATCAACAACTGCTGTATATAAAATGTGCAAATGTGCAACAACTGCTTCAAGGAGCTCCTGGCACAGTGGTTAAACTGCACTACTGCAGTCTGCTCATGATCTGAGTTTGATCTCTAGGGCGTCAGTTAGCTGTCTCAAGGTTCACTCAGCTTTCCATCCTATCAAGGTTGGTAAATTGATTAACCAGTTCACTCTGTGTGGGGTGTGTGTGTGTGTGTGTGTGTGTGTGTGTGTTTGTGTGTTTGTGTGTTTGTGTGCGTGTGTGTGTGTGTGTGTGTGCGCGCGCATGTGTGTGTCTGTGTGTGCAATGTGAAGCTTGCATAATTAAATTGCAAACCACCCAGAGAGTGCTTTAAATATTATGTAGCAGTTTATAAGCAGTACACTTTGCATATACAATGTGCTAAACCATTGGCTGAAATCCTGCTGCATATATTACAATGAGTAATCCTGATTATGTCATCAGGCACATTTATATTTTGGAAATAAAACATCCTAATCCCTCCCCCAGAACCTCCTAAGGCTCCCTTGGAATCCCTTTCATCATCAGGAAGCTTTTAGAGGTCACAGGATAGGTGGAGAAAGTCTTTCATTACTGAAAATTGCTGTAAGTGGTAAAGTCATCCAATTTTGGGAGACAAATCAGAAATGATTTCTTTCAAAAAAAAAAAAACCCTGCCACAGTTGATGATATCATCAGCCTCACCTAACATGAAATATGGCAACAGAATTTCAGACTGTGTTATATGGACACCTCTATGAATCTAGATTCACATATGGTGGAGCACAGCTTGGTGATGGAACACTTGCATATAGAATGGCCCAGGTTCCATTCCTGCCATCTTCAGTTAGGGCTAGAAATACTCCTGCTTGAAATGCCAGTGAGCCATTGCCAGTCAGTGTCAGGAGGTAAACAGTCCAATGACCAGATTTAGCATAAGGCTGCTTATTATGTTCTTAAGTAAATTCACAACAGGTGGTGAAAATTTTGAGATATTTTAGAAAACCATACTTGGATCCATTCTAATGTCCATTACACACACACACACACACACACACAGAGAGAGAGAGAGAGAGAGAGAGAGAGAGATTTGCATCCTGTTCTTTCTCCATAAGGACTGGATCCCCCCCCTCCAACTCCTTCGTGCTAGACTGGGCCAAAGAGTAGGGACTGGGCTGCCCAGGAAGTTTAATAGTTTGGTGCATAATTGAATACAGGCTTGTTCCATGTGCAAACAACACTAGCCATTAGACCAAATAAGATCTCAAAAGCAATGTTGCCATCTTTGATAGATTTACCATTCAATTTTCACAAGAAAACTAACTTTTTCTGGAAGAGCAAATAAATGTTGTTTTAAATGAAAAAGCCCCCACCACCACCACCAAAAAACAAGAAAACAAGTGCCCAACTTCATTCTTCTCAATCTGGCTCAGCAGTCTTTGTCTCAAGTCAACAGCTGTCATTTGTCCTGGGGTCAGTGCTTCCATATTCATGCTATTCAAAAGGGCTTTTATTTAATGGCACATCTGGATAGTCAGTCCAGATGAAATTTTTGCATCTGCCCAAGACTAATAATATAGCACCTTCCTGTTCATTATGACCAACCAGGCACCAGTTTCACATTCATCAAGAAACAAACACTTTCAAGCACTATAAAATCTGCTTAGAACAGCTCCAGGTTTAATAGGAATAGGAGGGGGGTGGGGTGGCATCTTGTAATGCCTGAAAATAAATCAGGAAAGAATGTTCAATATTTTTATCTGGAAGATCACATTAATATTTCTAAAAGTGATGTAGAGGCTTGCAAAATGGCTTTGGTGGATGAAGAGGACTGGGAAGTCCATGTGTTCATATACAGATAAAAATGCAAAAAGGAGAGATAAATTAAAAGCACCCAAACTGTTCAGGCCCTTAAGATAAACAAATGTATTCAATATAAGAAAAGAACCTGTTATTTGAAGACCAAAGGGAAAGCCCAGTAAGATTTTCAAAGCAGTTTAAACTAATAGAAAACAGCATACAAAAACTTCACTAATGGCTTTTTCTCTTGATACAATGAAGCTTCTTTTCCTTTATTTATCCAACTTTCATTAAGTTATCAGTACTCCATATGCCATAGCTCTTAGACTTTTCAGATAAGAGTCTAAGCATCCTCCTACCTCCAGTGCTGCCACTGCATCTTACTGATACAAAAGATAATGACAACATATGCCTTCTGATAAGTAAAATCACAACAAATTCAACTAGTAAATCTTTACAAAATG